AGATGTGTATAAGAGACTTTTCTTAGACGATTCGATTATTATTGAAGAATTTCGAGGACCTCTCTGACGTTAAAGAGGTACTATGACGACTCTGCCGTTCTCTGCAACAGGTGTTACAACGTCGTCTGGACGGTTCCGTGGACTTCCTGCGTGACTGGCAAGACTACAAGTATGGCTTCGGGAACCTCGCTGGCGAGTTCTGGCTTGGCAACGACCACATTCATGACCTCACCGCGCAATACGTACGCTGTCTCTTATACACATCTAGATGTGTATAAGAGACAGCTTGTGGTGACTTGTGGTGACTTGTGGTAACTTGTTATGACTTGTGATGACTTGTAGTGACTTGTGGTGACTTGTGATGACTTGTGATGACTTGTGATGACTTGTGGTGACTTGTGGTGACTTGTGATGACTTGTGGTGACTTGTGATGACTTGTGGTGACTTATGGTGACTTGTGATGACTTGTGATGACTTGTAGTGACTTGTGGTGACTTGTGATGACTTGTGATGACTTGTTATGACTTGTGATGACTTGTGATGACTTGTGGTGACTTATGGTGACTTGTGATGACTTCTGGTGACTTTTGGTGACTTGTTATGACTTGTGATGACTTGTAGTGACTTGTGGTGACTTGTGATAACTTGTAGTGACTTGTGGTGACTTGTGATGACTTGTGGTGACTTGTGATGACTTGTGGTGACTTATGGTGACTTGTGATGACTTCTGGTGACTTTTGGTGACTTGTTATGACTTGTGGTGACTTGTGATGACTTGTTATGACTTGTGATGACTTGTAGTGACTTGTGGTGACTTGTGATAACTTGTAGTGACTTGTGGTGACTTGTGATGACTTGTGGCGACTTATGGTGACTTTTGATGACTTCTGGTGACTTGTGGTGACTTGTTATGACTTGTGATGACTTGTGATGACTTGTTAGACTTGTGGTGACTTGTTATGACTTGTGATGCCTTGTGGTGACTTGTGGTGACTTGTGATGACTTGTGGTGACTTATGAAGACTTAGTCGACTATTGACGACTTTTGAATGCTTGTGATGCGCGCAGGGCGCGCTAATTTAATTACGCCGTTGCTGAAAATCATAAAAATTGAATGCCAGCAATTTTCTACGTTCTTATTCTTGCCCCTTTCCCCTCCACCCATCCCCCTCACCCCAGCCATCCTTCCTTACTCCTTATTTCTACTCCTCAATCTCTACCTACAATCCCCTCTCTCATTCTACACCCTCTTTACCCATACTCATTCCCCACTCTCATTCCCAGCCGCATTCCCCACCCTAAATCCTCACCCTAATTTTTTACCACTAGTCTTATCCCTCACTCCTTTTCTCTCACTCCTTTTCCCTTACTCCTTTTCCCTCACTCCTTTTCCCTCACTCCTTTTCTCTCACTCCTCTTCCCTTACTCCTTTTCCCTCACTCCTTTTCTCTCACTCCTCTTCCCTTACTCCTTTTCCCTCACTCCTTTTCTCTCACTCATCTTCCCTCACTCCTTTTCCCTCACTCCTTTTCTCTCACTCATCTTCCATCACTATTCTTCCCTCACTCATCTTCAGATGTGTATAAGAGACAGGAGATATACTGTCAGCAATGAGATAT